AGCTAAGCTATGCCAGAAGTCACCATGCATAGCGCCGCTAAGCCTTCCAAAGCCCAGAGGGGCATCCAAAAATGCCGAAGCGCATCACTTTTGCTCCTAAGGTTAAAGTCAGCTCTGAAAGTCAAAGAAGAGTTTCTGTATCTAGAAGTGGCAACTTTAGTCCTGATATTTAGGAGAATTGTTTAAGCCCCAGAAAACCTGGTGATAGGTTCACCTTGGGGTTGCCCTAAGTTGGAAACATCTTGAAGGCAACCGACAACATAGAAATAAATTATCTTCAGCATTCTGCTGTGTAGCCTTAATAGGAATGTGCACACGTTATTGAATGGGAGTAGTTTAAAGATGTGAATGAGATGCTTAAGACAGTTTCATCTAGGATAGGATGGGAATCATGCCGCTCTCCAGATGCTGTTAGAGAGCAGCTTCCAGCAGCCCCATCAGTACAGGCAATATGGGAGCTGTGTTGCAACAACATCTGGAGGGCAGGCTGTCCATTATTTAAAACGAGAGAAATCATGCCATTAGGTATGTAGGTGCACATTATTAATGTGTGAAAATTGGACAGTGAAAAACCTGGGAAGGACAGAATCATTTCATTTGGAGGAGAGTTCTGTGGATACAGTGGACAGCTAGCAAAACACATAAATGAGTTTGAATTCTCCCTAGAAGCCAAGCCAAGCTGAAACTATCATACTCTGGACATAGAATCATAGAATCAAAGAGTTGGAAGAGTCCTCATGGGCCATCCAGTCCAACCCCCTGCCAAGAAGCAGGAATATTGCATTCAAATCCCCCCTGACAGATGGCCATCCAGCCTCTGTTTAAAAGCTTCCAAAGAAGGAGCCTCCACCACACTCCGGGGCAGAGAGTTCCACTGCTGAACAGCTCTCACAGTCAGGAAGTTCTTCCTCATGTTCAGATGGAATCTCCTCTCTTGTACCTTGAAGCCATTGTTCCGCGTCCTAGTCTCCAGGGAAGCAGAAAACAAGCTTGCTCCCTCCTCCCTGTGGCTTCCTCTCACATATTTATACATGGCTATCATATCCCCTCTCAGCCTTCTCTTCTTCAGGCTAAACATGCCCAGCTCCTAAGCCGCTCCTCATAGGGCTTGTTCTCCAGACCCTTGATCATTTTAGTTGCTCTCCTCTGGACACATTCCAGCTTGTCAATATCTCTCTTGAATTGTGGTCATATGAGAAATATGACTAATTAGAAAAGACACATATTGTTTGGCCAAGGTAGAAGCCAGTGGGAGAAGACCCCCATTACAGGTGGACAGACTGAATCAAGAAAGTCACAGCCCTGTGTTTCCAGAACTTGAACTGGCAGTTCCGGGCTCTCACTATAACTTGACGTCGACTTGACAGCAGTTAAACAACTGCTGTCAGAGTAGATCTATTTTATAGCAAGGACTTAATATATAGGTCCTGACTTCCTGCTCATCAGTGGGTCACAAAGGATAGGAGGAGGGTGGCAAGACAATAGCTTTATAAACAAGTACCTTGGTCTCCCTACGGATTTTCCAATCCTCAAACACTCTGCACTCGCATAACTCAGGTGGTGTTGTATTTCGGCATCAATGTTGACTTTTGTAGAGAGGTGGCTCCAAGGTAGCGGAAATGGTCAACATTTTCTAACGTTACACCATTAAGCTGTATTTCTGGTATTGGAGAGGGATTGGTTGGTGACTTCCGGAAGAGCACTTTGGTTTTCTCGATGTTCAATGATAGGCCGAGCTTCTTGTATCTTTCTGCAAAGGTGTTTAGGTCTTCTTTTGAATGCACACAGACTATGTTACCTCCAGCTGACACTAATGTGTTATGACACACAGTTTGGAAAACTCTGCCCAAACTAGTAGTAAAGAATGTAGGAAGCTGGAGCCGACAACATCTGAAGGGTTATCTGATTTCAGCTGTAGTCTAGGATCCATATTTAGATCAGTTATTGATTTTTGGTCTATATAAACAATGGAAAATTACAGCACATCAAGTTTAACCTTCTCTTCTTCCTTATTCGCTTTTCATTCATTGTCTACATCTCTGCAGGGCTGCTTTTGAAGAAGAATCAGAAACTAACTGATTTTGACGTTATTTGTCAGCCCAGATTTCAAGTGTTGGTCTTGATGAACAACATTATTAATGTTCTTGTGTTATTAATGTAAAATGCTCTTTTAGCAGTCACCATCAGAGCTCCTCCTCCTTTGTTTGGTACTGTCTTACACAAGCTGTGTCTGCTTCCTTAACTCCATTGTTGAAACACAGGCTCACTTGAAGGGAAAAAAGAAAAGAGTCCCAGGAACGGAAAGGAGAGCCTTGTAAGTTCCCTATTGCTGCCAATGGGCCAGATCTAGCTGTATTTTTCGGTTGGGGACCGAACACGGCAATCCGGCTACCTGCCCATTTTTGGGAGGTGCACAAAAACGGATATGGGGGTCTACTGGAATCCAGCCAGCAGAAATAAATCAAGGTTCAGCTGAAAATGCACAAGCCTAGTGTTGGTAAAAATGTCAATGGGAGAAGAAAACCATGACAGCAGATCAGAAGAAAAGCAATTGTTTTATCCAAGGAGCCAAATATGAAAGAGGGAGGAAAAGAATTAACTTTTTTCGTTTGTTTCTCCTGATCTTGAAAAATGTTTACAAATCGCAGACACCATGGAGATTGTGATGCTAAAGTGTAAGCTAACCTCAGAGGAAAATTGCTACTCTTCAAATTTTCATAACCACTGGATTTCTTTCTTTTTTTTTATAAAGCCCTCAACACTTGGCACGCTCGCATGCAAGCAGTCATACACGCAATTTCACTTTCTTGAGGCCATTGATGTTTGCAAAATGAGGACCCGTTGCCAAAACCTCCAGCAGCAGCAATGAGATCAGCTGCGGACAGGGGTTGGGAATGCTATTTAATTGCCAATAGCATGGTTTTTACTCTTCCCACTGTGTAAACTTTGCCTACAAAACCAGGTCCCTAAGATCTACTGCAGACGTTTCCACCATTATTCTAAGAGATGATTGCCATCAAAAACAGAAACAAAATCTGCTGCAAGTGGAAAGTTGGCAGGATGCAACTGGCAAGCGAAAATGGCACATTACTTTGTCGGACCTCTGGGTGCCGTGGTGCTGGGCTGTAGGCAAATGGAGAGAAAAGGCAATTTCCTCCAGAAGTGTGCTCCCGTGTTACTTTTGCTTATTAAAACTAATAAAAGCTGTCGGGGAGTGCCATAGCTCTGGAGTGGAGCACATGATTCCCATGCAAAACTGTCCTAGATTCAGTTTATGGGTAGCAGAGTTAAGGTAAAACTAGTTGGCAAGGACAATACTTGGATTAGATGTGCCAGTTATCCAACTCAGTATCAGCTAGGTAGCTAAATTTATTTATATAGGTTGAGGATCCCTTATATGGAGTCTCAATCCTCTAAAATTGTTCACATGAGTGACTTAAATGGTTTTTTTTTTTAAATTTCTGACTAGCTTGGGTATCCGACATTGCCTGGGTTATTTGAAAAGTCTTTTTTTTTTTTTTTTACAAAATGCATAAAGTTGTGCGTGAACTACCATTCACGTCATGCTGGGTTAACCCCCTGAAACTCCATCTGTGCTTAAAGTTTGTCATGTTAGGCAAGTTTGCTCTGTAGATGCATCATTGGTAGGGTGTGTGTGGACTCTGGCCACAGGACAAACTACAGCTCTCCCTATAGTGAGTCAGTCCCATCAAACCTCTACAGTAGGTTCAGTTGGTCATGGGGGTTCTCTGTGCCAAGTTTGGTCCCGGTCTATTGCCAGTGGTGGTCACAGTTTCTCTGGATGTAGGTGAACTACAATTCCCCGAAATGAAGGTCAGTTCCCCTCAAACCCCTCCAACATGTTCAGTTGGTCATGGGAATTCTGTGTTCCAAGTTTGATACAGATCCATCATTGGTGGGGGTCACAGTTTCTCTGGTTGTACGTGAACTACAACTCTCAAAACCCAAGGCCAAGCTCTCCCAAATCCCCCCAGTAATCAAATTTGGGCATATCAGGTATGCGTGCCAAGTTTGGTCCAGATCCATCACAATGCTCTCTGGATATAGGTGAACTACAAGTCCTATAAATCCATCCAAAGACTTCCAGTATTTTTTTTTTTGTCATGGAGGTACTGTGTACCAAATTAGTTGCAGGTCCATCTTTGATGGGGTTCAGAGTGCTCTTTGATTGCAGGTGAACTATAAATTCCTATAAATAAAGACTTAAAAAGCCAAAAATTAAAAATACGTTACAATGCATGTGCAAAACCACATACAGTGTTGCCTCACTTATTGCAGGGGTTACGTTCCAGGACCACCCGCGATAAGTGAAAATCTGCGAAGTAGGGATGCTATATTAATTGTAATATTTGTACATTATTGGATGTTATTGAGGCGGCATGGGGCTTCCAGTGGGCTGTATCCCTGCCCGGAACGAAGAGGTGGACAAAGCATGTCCGCTCGCAGCCCGAGCCATCAACGGAATGAGCAAAAAGAAGCGACAGGACGCGAGAGGCCACACACAAGCCTCCCTTTCAGAGGTCCATTGTAATGTAAATATTTTAAATTATTTTTTTTTGAAAATCCGCGAAACAGCGAGTCCATGTAAAGCGAACTGCGAAGTTGTGAGGGAACACTTTATATACACAAATATATACACACATATACACAAGCAAAACACATATACACAGACTGGGCCACAGCAACGCATGACGGGACAGCTACTAATGTATAAATATTAAAATTAATATGACATCCCTACTTTGCAGATTTTCACTTAGTGCGGGTGGTCCTGGAATGGAACCCCACGATAAGTGAGGAAGAATTTGCAATAATGTCCAGAAAATTTCTTATTAAGACATTAGAAGACAATACTATAGTGTTTGAGTGCCCCATGGCACATTGTATCTTTTGCTTTTAGGTTAAATTTCTGTTCAGTATTAAATAATGCTTCAATTACATTTATTTGCCCCACTCTCTGCCCATCTTCTGTCTTGCAGCTTCTCCTCGTCTTGATACTCCGGTCAAAGATGATGCGGTGCATGTCATCAAAGTGGTAATTCTCATAAATCTTAATCTTTTTTAAAAAATTAACATGTTACGATACAAGCCTTATATAACTTCATGAAAGCATTTTTATATTATTATTAATGGCTATTGGTGTGTTGAGAGGCAATACATTAATGCCATGAATAAATACTCCACTTAGCCTCTTGACAAGATGAAGAGAAAAATAATTCCCAGAAAACCATACTATCCTATACCACTTGTATGTCAATAAGACGTTGAATGGAGTAATTAACTTTTTGGTATGTGTGTATTTGTAACAAAATTGTGATGGTGTTATATATATTATTTACCCTTACCTGCACAGTAATGCTGTGGAGCAGTCTAGGAATATGAGACCTTAATAGTATAAGAGGAGATTTAATCTAGGTTCGCCTAAACCACATAAGCACTCTATAGGTAGATAGATACGTGTTTTTGCTCTAAAGCCTGCTATAATCCTTTCTTCAGCTCTTACCTGTTTTAGACTTATTTATTTACTACATTTATACCCCACCCTTTTCAACCCTGTAGGGCAGCGTTTCTCAACCTGGGGGCTTATGTGGGGTTGTCAGAGGGGTCACCAAAGACCATCAGGAAACACAGTATTGTCTGTTGGTCATAGGGATTCTGTGTGGGAAGTTTGGCTCAATTATATCATTGGTGGGGTTCAGAATGCTCTTCAATTGTAGGTTGAATCCCAGCAACTACAACTCTCAAATGTCAAGGTCTATTTCTCCCAAACTTCGCCAGTGTTCAAATTTGGGCATGTTGAGTATTTGTGCCAAGTTTGGTCCATATCCATCATTGTTTGAGTCCACAGTGCTCTCTGGATGTAGGTGAACTACAACTCCAAAACTCAAGGTCGATGCCCACCAAACCCTTCCAGTATTTTCTATTGGACGTGGGAGTTCTTTGTGACAAGTTTGGTACAATTCCATCATTGGTGGAGTTCAGAATGCTCTTTGATTGTAGTTGAACTATAAATCCCAGCAACTACAACTCCCAAATCACAAAATCAGTCCCCCGTCCCCCCATCCAACCAGTATTCAAATTTGGGCGTATCGGGTATTTGTGCCAAATTTGGTCCAGTGAATGAAAATTCATCCCACATATCAGATATTTATATTACGATTCATAACGGTAGCAAAATTACAGTTATGACATAGCAACAAAAATAATTTTATGGTTGGGGGTCACCAGGACAAGAGGAACTGTATTAAGGGGTCACAGCATTAGGAAGGTTGAGAAACACTGCCGTAGGAGACTCAAGGCAATTTACGTATATAGGCAACTATTAGATGACAAAAACACACATAATAGAAACATAAGAATTAAAACATTTAAAACCTTTCAACCAATGATTGAAATCATGCAATCCAATATTGTAGTCCGTGGCCATTCCAATTTGTTGTTTTCTTATTGCACTGATAGATTACTCATTGAATGCTTGGTCGAACATCCACATTTTTAGCCTTTTCCTAAAGGTCAGGAAGGAGAGGGCTGATCTAATTTCACTTGGGAGGAAGTTCCTTAGCCAAGGGGCCACCACTGACAAGGCCCTGTCTCGTCCCCCGCCAACCGCGCCTACGAAGAAGGCGGGATGGAGAGCAGGGCCTCCCCAGAAGATATTAATCTCCTTGCTGGCAATTATATGCTGCTTCCCCCAGGTCTACTAAACACACACAGTTTCCTTTTCTATAAAGGTGCAGGTACAGTGCAGAATGCAGTCTGGCACCACTTTAAAGACCCTGTCAGACTACAACACTCGAGACTCCAGACTACTGAGCCATGGCAGTGAAAGTGATGCCAAGTTGTAGTGTAGATACACTTTCAGTCAATTCAGCACATGGCTTTCTCCATCTCAGATGACAAGAGGGTCCATCTACAATACAGCTTGGCACCACTTGAAGCGCCATGGCACAACACTCTGGAATCCCGGAAGCATTACGGCATCTTATTATTACGGCATCTTTTTCAAGGTTCGCTTTTTGGAAAAGACTTTCAGCTTAAGACATCCAATTTGTTTTTGCCTTTTAAATACAGGAATATCTTGAAAATGGACCCTTGTTTTCAGAACTGAAATTTTACCAGCGAGCCGCAAAACAAGAGCACAGTAAGTTGAATATAATATCTGCTTAATGTTTATACCAGGCATGGGCAAACTTTGACCCTCCGGGTGTTTTGGACTTCAACTCCCACAATTCCTAACAGCCTACCGGCTGTTAGGAATTGTGGGAGTTGAAGTCCAAAATACCCGGAGGGTCAAAGTTTGCCCATGCCTGGTTAATACTGTCTTAAGAGACCATTTTTGTTTGTGTAAACACATTTATTTACTGTGTCTTTACCTTCTCAAAAAGTTAGGACATACATTTTTATAATGTTGTTTTCTGATGGCAGTTTGAAAAAAAACTCAAGGATAAAACCCTATATATTTAAAACATCTCTCTTTTTGGTTGTCTCCTTTTGACAGTCAAGATGTGGATGAAGATGAAAGGCTTGGCCTTTTTAGGGATTCCGGTCTTCTGGGGATCAGGCCAGGCTGAACACAATGGCAAAAGGTAAGCGAGTAGATGGACAAACAGATGGAGAGATATTTTAAGGCATTTGTCCATTGCAGTCCAGCTCACCAAAAGATCTCGTATAAACGCAGATTTATTTGCTTTGTGAGAATAGCATCTGGTTTAGCTCAGTGGCAAAGAGCAAAGTTGGGGGGGGGGGGGATTTTTTTTTGGAGCTCCCAGAAACCCCCAGTCGTACTTTGCATGAAGAAGGATGAGTTCAAAGATTACTCTCCTTGACATTTCAGGGTAAAGCCAGTGCTTCTCAACCTGGGGGGGGGGGGGGGGGGGGGGGGGGGGGGGTCCACAATGGGTTTCATTGTGGTCACCAAAGATCATCAGAAAACACATATTTCTGCTGGTCTTAGGAACCTCTTTGGTAAAGAAGGCTGAAGATCTCTCTACCTAGCCTTCTCTTCCTTTTTGGAAACAGACGGCAAATCCTCCCACCAAAAGCCCTCCACCATCTGCTCAGCTAAGGGGAAGGCTGTTTTTGAGACTCCAAACTGGGAGGGGAGAGTAGGCGTGATTGGCACATGGCAGTGTGGTGCTTATGCACAGGCGAGGGTGAGCGTGTAGGTGGGAGGGAGGCTCACAACAGCAAGTTCATTCAAGGCATGGGGGTTCTGTGTGGGAAGTCTGGCTCAATTTTATCATTGCTGGGGTTCAGGATCCTCTTTGATTGTATAGATCCCAGAAACTACAACTCCCAAATGCCAAGGTCTATTTCCCCCAAACTCCACTAGAGTTCACATTTGGGCATATTGAGTATTCATGCCAAGTTTGGTCCAAATCCATCTTTCTTTGAGTCCACAGTACTCTCTGGAGTTAGATGAACTACAACTCCAAAACTCAAGGTCAATGCTCATCAAAACCTTCCAGTATTTTCTGTTGGTCTTGGGAGTTCTGTGTGCCAAGATTGGTTCAATTACATCGTTGGTGGACTTCGGAATGTTCTTTGATTGTAGGCGAACTATAAATTCCAGCACCTGCAACTCCCAAATGACAAAATCAATTCCCCCCCGCACCCAACCCCACCAGTATTCAAATTTGGGTGTGTCAGGTATTTGAGCCAAATTTGGTCCGGTGAATGAAAATACATCCTGCATATCAGATATTTACATTACGATTCATAACATTAGCAAAATGACAGTTATGAAGTAGCAATCGTTGTTTGAGTCCATAGTGCTCTCTGGAGGTAAGTGAACTACAACTCCAAAATTCAAGACCAATGACCACCAAACTCTTCCGATATTTTCTGTTCGTCATGGGGTTCTATTGGTTCTTTGTGCCAAAACTGGCTCAATTCCATCACTGGTGAAGTTCAGAATGCTCTTTGATTGTAGGTTCACTATAAATCCCAGCAACTACAACTCCCAGATGACAAATTCAACCCCACCTCACAAGTATTCAGATTTAGGTGTATCGGGTATTTGGTCCAGTGAATGAAAATACAATCTGCATATCAGATATTTACATTATGATTCATAACAGTATCTAGATTACTGTTATGAAGTAGCAACAAAAATAATGTTATGGTTGGGTTCTTGTAGGTTTTTTCGGGCTATATGGCCATGATCTAGAGGCATTCTCTCCTGACGTTTCACCTGCATCTATGGCAAGCATCCTCAGAGGCATCCTCACTACCTCTGAGGATGCTTGCCATAGATGCAGGCGAAATTTCAGGACAGAATGCCTCTAGACCATGGCCATATAACCCAAAAAAACCTACAACAACCCAGTGATTACAGCCATGAAAGCCTTCGACAATACAGTGTTATGGTTGGGAGTCACCGCAACATGAGGAACTGTATTAAGGAGTTATGGCATTTGCAAGGCTGAGAACCACTGGGGTAAGCGAACTCATATAGCAAAGTTGTGCTTGGGAATATGGTGAATTGCCATTTGACTCCCGTGTCTGTGGGATCCATGGTTTCATTTATCCACATCTCACAAAATAGATAACATCCCTAGGCATTTGCTAGGTCTTTTTGCAGGGCTCTGTGACATTTTTGGGTGAAGAGGTCCTTAATTTCGATAGGATTCACAGTTATTGTGGTTTCATGCAAAGCCCAGGAACGTATCCTTCGTGGATATGGAGTTGTAGTTTATTACTAACTGCTCCTACTTATGGTGGTCAGCTTTATTAAAAGGCAGATTAATTAACTGATTGGTATTTAGGCTGTTGATGATGGAGTCAGAAGTCAACAGGGCTTAACAACTTTCCTTTCTGTTGTAATAGTTATAGGTTTATGGTGATGGAGAGATTAGGAGAGGATCTGCAAACCATCTTTGAAAGGAGAGGGCGAAGGTTTAACAAGGCAACCGTTCTGCAGATTGGGGTACAAATGGTAGGTATCAGCTCTCATGGCAGTATAAAGCTGGGAGGAAATCACCGGACCATTGCATTCAAGCCATTGTCCTAGATACTTGTTATCTGAAATTCTGACAGATGTTTGTGCATTCTTGCTTGAAAAGAAGACCTCTAAGGAAGGGATTTTGCAACCTTTTCCAGCAGCCTGTTCCGTTGCTCCCTTGAGCCTAGAGTTAAATATATACTTTTATTTTGTGCTCACATTTTATTTTATGTATATCACACCTTTCTTCCGACAGGAGACCCAAGGCAGCTTACACTGAGAAAACGCTAAAAAACTGATGATAAAACTCCCAATTAAGCAATTTGCCGTATTGAAGTGTAAAATTATTTTAAAATATGGTGCTCCTACTGCTGTCACATCCAAACTGCTGACCAGATTCATAGACACTTATCTTTAGTAAAGCAGACTTTAGTAAAGTCTCAGTTGTTTCTTGGATGTTACAACTAAAAGTTTCTTTATAAGTAAATACAATACAACATACCATATATACTTGAGTATAAACTGACCTGAATATAAGCCAAGGCACCTAATTTTACCACAAAAAAACTGGGAAAATACGTATTTCCTATTCCTGGATTGCAGCTCCCAGCAATCTTCCAGATAGATAGTTTAGATAAAAAGGTAGGTAGGTAGATCAATCAAGAGGACTGCTGGGAGTTGCAGTCCAAGAATAGGTAGAGAAGGAAGAAAGGGGAGAAAGAGGAAGGGAAAGAAAAGGGAAGTAAGGAGAGAGGAAGAGAAGGATGGAAGGAGAGAAGAAAAGAAAGAAAAAAGGGAAGGAAGGAAAGAGGGAGGGAAAGAAGGAGAGAAAGAAAGGAAGAGAGAAAGAGTGAGGGAAGGTTGGCCACAGCAATGTGTGGCGGGTACAGCTAGTAGCATAATAAGATAATAAATAACTTTGACTTGAGTATAAGCCATGGGGGGCTTTTTCAATCTAAAAAAAATGGACTGAAAACTTGGCTTATAATTGAGTATATATGGTACTATATGTATACTCATGTACACGTCGACCTCATGTCTGTCCAAGGCAGGTTTTGGAACCAAAATTATGGATTATGATATGGCCCATGGATAATCAAGGGGTAATACTGATGTATATTGATTTGTTGGAAACCGTCTTGAGTCGCCAATTGGCTGAGAAAGGCTGTATACAAATACAGTAAATAAATAAATAAAATAAATAATATTGCAGATGGAGGAAAGAGCTAGTTAGTGCTGCAAGCCACTTTAGCCATGAATATGTTGGTGCTTAAATACATCAATACACATATATATACACACACACATATATAGAGAGAGAGAGAGCAGGTTCTTACTTGGTAAACAGGATAATATTGCTCTTCTAAGGAACTGTGTAGTGTTCTCTGCTAGAGAGAAGTGTTGTTTTTGTTAGCTGTGTATTTAGTGAGCTCTTCAATTGTTTCTTAAGAAAATGCTCTGTCATATTTTTCCTCTTCACCTTATCATGTAACAGCTAAAACTTGCTAAGCTGCTAGTCGAAGGGATATTTAAAGAGATGATTATAACATAAATAAGGAATTCTGGCTTTGTAACTTTTTTGTCCTTCCTAACAGTTGGATATCTTAGAATATATACATGAAAACGAATACGTGCATGGAGATATTAAAGCAGCAAATTTACTTTTGGGCTACAGAAATCCACATGAGGTAAATAAATATTGAATTCCCTTTCTCCTAATGCTTTATTGTTATGTTTATTATCATTACTTTAGTTCAGGCTTTCCCAACATGCTGTTCTTTGGATGTGTTAGAACAAGAAGTCCTATTCCAATCATGCTGCCTGCTGGTGTTGCAGGAAAAATACAACAACAGTTCAACCACTTCAATGTTTAGGCTCTGTGCTCCCCTTATTTGAATAGTTTGATTATTCACAGTTTTGATCAAAAGTGTTATCTATAGGAATCTGTAGATGATAGAACTTGATTGGAAGACCTAAATTTCCTAGTAATCTTTCAGGTAATATATTAGTAATTCTTCTCTTTGTGTTTTTCCACTTTCATGAGGATCCTGTGCCCTTTAGAGTTAAAATTGAAAAGACAATATAATAATAATAGCAACACTTTATTTATATTCCACCCTTCTCCCCAAGGAGACCCAGAGCGGATTACAACTTACAAACAAACACAGGCAAACATTCAATTCCTTGTTAAAAAATGGAAATACACTGAAACTCAAATACACAGACAAAGGCTTCTCCTTTCATGTCCAGCTCTGAAGGCAATCTTCATATCTGTCTCTGGTGGAGATGTTTTTCTCCATTTCCAAGCCAAGGAGCCTGCATTGTCGTATTACAAGATATAAACAAACAGGCAAACATTCAATGCCTTGTTACAAAATGTAAATAAAGTGAAACTCAAATACACAGACAAAGGCAAAGGCTTCTCCTTTCATTTCTGGCTCTGGAGATGGTGTTCATATCTGGCTCCGGGAAAGGTCCTTTTCTCTCTTTCCAAGCCCAGGATCCTTCATTGTCGTATTACAACATATAAACAAACACAGGCAAACATTCAATTCCTTGTTACAAAATGGAAATACACTGAAACTCAAATATGCAGACAAAGGCAAAGGCTTCTCCTTTCATTTCCAGCTCTGAAGGCGGTGTTCATATCTAGCTCTGGGGGAGGTGCTTTTCTCCATTTCTTTTTTTAAATAATGTTTTTTATTGTGAGTATATAAATTACATAAAAAGTGGTGGAACAATTAGGTTGTGATAGAAAAGTAGGAAAAAAGACGTGGGGTGGGTGAGAAGGTAGGAGGGCCAATGCGAAAGGGTTTCCCTGTAATGGAAAGATGAGTGAATAAAAAATAAAGAAAAAATATATTAAAAAACAAAACATTTCTAAACCGAGGAGTCTGCACTGTCATAGACACCTCGTGGTCGTGTGGCCGGCAAGATTGCTTGGAGAATCTCTTTGCCTTTTCCCACCCAAGCGGTACCTATTTGTCTACTCACATTTGCATGGTTTCAAACTGCTACATTGGCAGGAGCTAGGGCTGAGAGTGGGAGCTCACGTCTCACGAATTTGAATTGCCAACCTTCAGGTCAGCAGTTCATCAGCACAAGGGTTTAAGCCATTGTGCCACCACAGAGTATTGTGTATTTTGAGGTACAACGATAATTGATGCCACTGTATATCTCAATGCAGATTTATACATGTTATCAAGACATGTGTGCAGAATTATGCCATGCAGGCCATCTTTGGGCAAACAGACAGGGATTGTGCCCATGAGCAGGCCAGCTTGATGGGGCTTGCTGTTTTCCAATATCACCGAAGCCCATGCAAACCTCTTGCCCCCAGGGAGGAATGCCTTGGGAAGATCAGGCTTTACATCCTGCGCTACAGTTGATTGCTGCTTTATTGCTAATAACGCAGTCATTGAGTTCTGTGTCCTAATTAAGTTGGCCTGCTAATACAGTGGTGATCCGAATTTATTACTAAGCTAACAAAGTAATATATCTCATCGGGTTTTATATGGCAGCTCCATTGACCGAAAAACCAAATGGCGAGATCTATCACTCATTTTGTAATGCTTTTCTCTCAGTATGGTTCTTTCTACTACCGTGTAGATGTTTTGACATTAGCTTCTGTATTCTTGAAGCTGTAAACCTGCATATTTGGGGTGTGTGTGTGTGTGTGTGTGTGTGTGTGTGTGTGTGTGTGTGAAGTTGCTGCCCCAACTTTGCAATTCCATAGTTTTGAACAGTTTGCATATCACTAATAATAGTAATAGTAATAATAATAATAATAATAATAATTATTATTATTATTATTATTATTATTATTATTATTATTATTATTATTTGTATCCCGCCCTATCTCCCCTTGGGGACCAATTAGGATAAGTTACTTGCTCAGAATAAATTGTTTTTGAATATTGCTCCTTTGGAAAGGTAGCTAGGAAAGCAGAAATCTGAATCAAATATTTTGTGTGTAAATATTTGCAGAAGGGGGCTATTTTTTTAAAAAAAAAAGATCTAGAAAAGGGTAGTTTTGGAAGCAAACTGTGGCTTTCTACACATAGCATCAGTAGTGTTGAAACAGTCCCCAAGTTACCCACAAGATAGGTTATGTAGATTTGTCCTTAAGTTGAATTTGAATGTAAGTCAGAAGAGATACTTTTTAAAGTGTAACTCCAGATATATATTCACTCCTTTCTGGCATTTGCCCACATGTGTTTATTCATTCAGTCGCTTCTGACTCTTTGTGACCTTCTGGACCTTGCCATGCCAGAGCTCCCTGTTGGCCGTGTCCACCCCAAGCTCTTTCAGGGTCAAGCCAGTCACTTCAAGGATACCATCTATCCAACTTGCCCTTTGTCTGCCCCTCTTCCTTTTTCCTTCCATTTTCCCCAGCATCATTCTCTTCTCCAAGCTTTTCTGATTTCTCACTATGTGGCCAAAGTTCTCACTATGCGGCCAACTGAGGAGCCTTCACGACCCCCAGAAAATGGCTCGGTGACCCCACTAGGGGTTGCGACCCCCAGGTTGAGAACCGCTGGTCTAGGAGGACCCCCAGTGCAACCAGTATGTGTATATTTCTCATTTCATTTTCAATATCCTTCTACATTATGCTTTGTGTTTCTGTATCTTCCCTGAAACATGTGAAAGTCTACAGTTATGTTACTGTCTTTTCTAATGGTTGCCTATGCTTTGCCGATGAAATATTTGCTGGTTCAATGCAAACCAACAACGCAACCAAAACGCGCAGCATAGAGTGCTTTTCCTGTATTGCAGGGGGTCTCGTCCAAATCTATGACTTATTAAAAAAAACCAAGTAATTGGTTTAATGGTACTGGAGTGGAAAGAACATGAAAGCAGTGTTATGTTTATTGTCCTCCTATATTATGTGCAGGGGCTTATAAGAGGATCGGAACCCAGTGACTTCTGAAGGGAGGCTATCTATGCATTCATTTGCTTTCAGGACAAAAGAACTGTTCTCTCATCTCTAAGCCTCTTAAATGTGCAACCACCCTGCAGTTGGTTCCCTGTGTTAAAAGGTGGTTTCTTTTATTTTTTGTCTGTCAGGGGCGAACCAAACAGTTGTATTGTATTTTTTAAAAAAAACAAACAAAAACTCACAGAGTTTGAAAACTTGGCATTCTATTAAATATCCTTTGACCAGTAGCTGACCACTTGGTGTGCCTCTGGTGTTGCTATAAAAAGGTCCTCCATTGTGCATGGGGCAGGGCTCAGGCTGCATTGCAGTAGGTGGTCTGTGGTTTTCTCTTCTCCACACTCACATGTTGTGAATTCTACTTTGTAGCCCCATTTCTGCATCTCATGGTGCCAGAGCGCAGTCTGTTCAACACCTTCCAAATCACCCAGTCTTATGTGTGCCCAGGAGGGAGTCTCTCATTTGGCACCAGCCATTGATTGAGCTTCTGGTTTTTAGCCTGCCACTTTTGGACTCTGGCTTGCTGAGGTGTTCCAGCGAGTGTCTCTGTAAATCTTAAAAAACTATTTCTTGATTTAAGTTGTTGGCGTGCTGGCTGATATCCAAACGGGGAATGGACCAGAGATGTCACTGCCTTGGTCCTTTCACTATTAGTTGCTACTTCTTGGCGGATGTCAGGTAGTGCCAATTGTTTTGCTTAGGCAGCATATTCAAAGCATTTTACAAACTATTGTATATTGTCAGCTCTTTGTTGCTGCTGGGGATCTGACCTGATGCATGTTTTCTTGCAAGTGTCTCTTTGAGTTGAGTTGCATTTACTTCAAAGTCAGCATGCAGAGGATCGCAGACTTTGAAGGTATGGGTTAAAACCTCTTGGATTTGTGGGGCCAGAGAGGAACACTTAAAAGATAATCGCACTGGGGAAAAAACAGTGTTTTCTTTCTATAAAAGTGCCTGACCTTTTGCATCAAATAGCAGGGGGAAGTTGTATTTCTCATTGTTGGCAGGTTTATTTATCGTGTCAGAAGCAAATTGAGAATATGGTTATAAAGCATACAAAAACCACAAATGAAGTTAAAAGCTTGGCATTGTACTATATTTCTTTTGACCAGTAGCTGGCCACTTGGAGTGCCTCTGGTGTCGCTGTGAGAAGGTTTTCCATTGTGCATTTGGCAGGGCTCAGATTGCACTGTAGTAAGTGGTCTGTGGTTTGCTTTTCTCCACACTCGCATAGTGTGGACTCTGCTTTGTAGCCTCATTTCTTAAGCTCTGTGTCTCATGGTGCCAGAGCACGGTCTGTTCAGCGCCTTCCAAGTCACCAAGTCTTTTGTTTCTCATCTAGCATTAGCCACTGATTGATGTTCCGGGTTTTAGCCTGCCACTTTTGGACTCTGGGTTGCTGAGGTGTTCCAGCGAGTGTCTCTGTAGATCTTAAAAAACTATTTCTTGATTTAAGGCTTTGGCTTGCTGGCTGATATCCAGAGGATGGGTCAGAGATGTCGCTGCCTTGGTCCTTTCATTACAGGCTGCTACTTCGAGAAAACTACGTTAATTGACAAATCTGATGAATTGATTTAAAATGAGGCTGGTTTAAAATAATAAAATTCCAAGAGTAAAGATTTATTTTTAAGACATGGATTTAGGCAATCTCATGTTTTATAGATAAAGGTGAAATATTTATAGCCATGTGCGCCTTGCATACCCTTCAACTATCCCAGCTTGATTGTAGGTTAACTATAAATGACAGTAACT